TGGTCTGCCGTGCTCCTTTGGGGTCTGCCTTGCTACTGTGGGGTCTGCCGTGCTCCTGTGTGGTCTGCCGTGCTCCTGTGGTTTGCCTTGCTCCTGTGTGGTCTGCCGTGCTCCTTTTGGGTCTGCTCTGCCGTGCTCCTGTGGGGTCTGCCGTGCTCCTGTGGGGTCTGCCGTGCTCTTGTGGGGTCTGCCGTGCTCTTGTGTGGTCTGCCGTGCTCCTTTGTGGTCTGCCGTGCTCCTGTGTGGTCTGCCGTGCTCCTGTGTGGCCTGCCGTGCTCTTGTGTGGTCTGCCGTGCTCCTGTTGGTCTGCCGTGCTCTTCTGTGGTCTGCCGTGCTCCTATGGGGTCTGCCGTTGTTCGGCCGTCTTGAGGGCACTCTTAGGGCATAGTCTGCCGTGCTCCTCGTCTTGGTCTGCCGTGCTCCTCGTCTTGGTCATCCTTTCCGTCGTCTTGAGGGCGCTCTTGGTGCCTGGTCTGCCGTGCTCCTCGTCTTGGTCTGCCGTGCTCCTCTCGGTTCCTAAGCCTGGTCTGCCGTGCTCCTCGTCTTGGTCTGCCGTGCTCCTCTCGGTTCCTACGCGCGGTCTGCCGTGCTCCTGTGGGGAGCACGGCAGACCACAGGAGCACGGCAGACCACACAGGAGCACGGCAGACCACACCTCGATTTTTTGAGGATGTCTCGAGCGAAATGGCCGTGGTCTGCCGTGCTCCACACAGGAGCACGGCAGACCACCTGCTCATTTTCTGAGGACGTCCCGAGCGAAAACGTCATTTTTAACATAAGAGGTTCTAAAACACCTCTGTCGGCATCTCATTTTTTCGAGGATGTCTCGAGCGAAACGCTCATTTTTCATGCATACAAAAATTTTTGATATTTTTCAACATGCCGATTTTTTGAGGATGTCTCGAGCGAAACCGTCATTTTTGACATAAGACGTCTTAAACGATAACCTCCAACACCTCGATTTTTCGAGGATGTCTCGAGCGAAATGGCCATTTTGGGGAATCCGCCAATGAAAACCCCCGTGCAATCGCGCAACCCATAGATATAAAGATATATATATATATATATATATATATATTTACTCAAGGATTCAGCCAGAACGTCCCGCTTGCTTCTCGTACCTCGAAGACGCTTCCCGTCATCCGCCAGCGAGGTGCGGGATGCGATCGGTACCCCTCAATTAAAGAAAATTAAGCCCCTGAACCAACGGTGCACGCCGGAGGCGCTTCCCGTCATCCGCCAGCGAGGTGCGGGATGCGATCGGCACCCCTTAGTTAAAGAAAATTAAGCCCCTGAACCAACGGTGCACGCCGGAGGCGCTTCCCGTCATCCGCCACCGTGCCGCTGGGCACGGAGTGGGCGTGTCTTCAGGACCTTTGCCTAATCCCCTGAGCCTCAGTCCTCCCGGGGGCGACGATAGGGGCGAATAGCCCAGGGGCGGGCATTACACGCATTCGCCCGGGAGCCTTGTCGAAGACATAGATCATCGGCACCCCTGGATACATGTATTGCTCCCCACTGGGCTATTCGCCCCTGTCGTCGCCTCCGATCCTCACTCCTGAAGTGTCTCGAAGGGCCCCGGACCCCAGATTCTCAAATCTCTTGAAGCTCCCGGCGTGCCCCCTGGGCTTTGGGAAGTGGTGGCGCGTGAACTTTTCAGGCCCAAGAAGGCCCCAAGATGGGCCGAGAGGGCCCCAAGAGGCCCCGAAGACGGCCCAAGAGGGTCCCGAGTCGCCGGCAGAGCGGCCCATGACGCCAAACATGGCCCCCAGAGGGTCCAAGAGGCCTCAAAGACACTCCAGGAGGCCTCCAAGAGGCCTCCCAAGAGAGCCCCAAGAGGCACACATTTTTTTCATACAGATTTGAAGGATTAGGGCGTTCTCGCATTTTCGGCTTCCCGACGCTTCAAGACGGCCCAAGAGGCCCCCAAGACCCATCCCAAAACGGCCCAAGAGGGCCGCAAGACGGCCTGAGAACGCCCCAAGACGGCCCAAGAGGCGACCAAGACGGCCCAAAAGGGCCCCAAGACGGCCCCAGAACCCAAAAAGGGCCCAAGAGAGGGAACACGAATCGAAAATCCGAGCTTTCCGCCCCAAGAGGCCCCAAGAGGCGCCCAGAAGGCCCCAAGAGGTCCCTAAGAGGTCCCCAAGAGGTTCCCAAGAGGCCCCCAAGAGGCCCAAAAGAGGCCCAGAAGAGGCCTAAAAATAGTCCCCTAAGAAGCCTCCAAACTGCATCCAGGAGGCCCCCGAGAGACCCCCCACGAGATCCCAACGAACACCCAATAGGCTTCATACCCACAACCCAGGCACGGTGGCGGTATGGGCCGAAGGCCATCAGATCCGCCGCCACCTGTTCATTTATCACATGGACGCCTGGCGCGCTAGACTTATTACGATTAGGTTTTGGTTATTTTCCAGAAAAAACTCTGCCTGGGGCTTCAGCCCGTCCCGCTGGCCACCCGAAAGGCCCCCAAACGAGCACAACGACCACAAACAAACCTCCAAGACGGCTCGCTCGAGATGGTTTCTAAGATGGTCACGTTGGCCCAAGATGGCCTCCAAGATGGCCCAAGATGATCTAAGTTGCCTCCAAGTTCGCCGAAGAAGCCACCAAGACGGCCCACGATGGATCCAAGATGCCTCCGAGTTTGCCCAAGAAGCCTCCAAGATGGCCTAAGACGGCCCTAGAGGCCCCCATGACGGCCCCAAGACGTCCTCCAGGAGGGCCCGAAGAAGCCAAAATCATTGGTGTCCCTTTGGTGTTTGAAAGATGTTGGCATTTGCTTCTTGTCGGCCTTCCGACAGCCCAAGACGACCCAAGAGGCCCCCAAGATCGCCGCAAGATGGCCCCGAGGCCTCGCAGATGACCTCATAACGGTTCAAGAAGCCTCCAAGACGGCCCCAAGAGGCCTCCAGGTTCGCCCGAGATGGTCCAAGATCACCTCCTAGATGGCCCAAGAGGGTCCAAGATGGTCAATAAGACGGCCCAAGAGGGCCCAAGATACTTCTACGTCTGACCAAGACGGCCCAGAAGCCTCCAAGACGACCGAAGACGGCCAAAGAAGCCCCTAAGAAGCCTCCAAGACTGCCCAATAAACCAAAAAGAGGTCCCCGGGAGGGCCCGAAGAGGCCAACATCACTGGTTCGCCTTAAGTGTTTCAAAGATGTTGGAATTTCCATGTTGTTCTGACTTCCGACGGCCCAAGACGGCCCAAGAGGCTCCCAAAATCCAAGATGGCTCCAAGGCCTCCACGATGACCGCATGACAGCCCAAGAAGCCTCCAAGACGGACCCAAGTCCGCCGCCCCCTGTTGGCTTTGTAAAAGGGTGCCTGGCGTACTAAATCCTATACGTCCTGGTTTCGGTTCTTTTTAAAAACAACGAGCTCCGGGCGAGGTGGTCGCAAAGGTATATGCTGTTCAGGATGGCTCCAAGACGGCCCAAGATGGCCTCCAAGACGGCCAAAATGGCTCTGAAGTTCGCCCAAGATGGTCATGGTCTCAAAGATGGCCCAAGAGGGTCCAAGATGCCTCCAAGTTTGCCCAAGAAGCCTCCCAAACGGCCCCAGGCGGCCCTAGAGGCCCCCAAGAAGCCTCCAAGATGGCCCAAGAGGCCTCCAAGAGGTCCTCCAGGAGGGCCCGAAGAGGCCAACATCATTGGTTGTTTTTAGGTGTTTGAAGGATTGTGGCATTTGCTTCTTTTCGGCCGTCCGACGGCCCAAGAAGGCCCAAGAAGGCCCCCAGAACGCCCCCAGAGCGCTCAAGAGGCCTCCAAGATGGCCCCATGACGGCCCAAAAAGCCCCCAAGACGGCCCAGAGGGGGGCCCAAGAATGGTCCCCTATAAGCCGCAGCGGCGCCGATCGCAAACCACACCCCGGCGGAACCACACCCGCTGTGGCCACCGAGAAGATAAATCCGAATCCGCGGCTTCGCGGGCTGGGCCCCTTGGCCGCGACCCCGCGGATACGGGAGGCTTTTGTCGCGGAGGCCCCGCGCGGAAAATGTCCGTGCGACCGCCGAGTCGCGGGATCGCGCCCCAGAATCCAAACCCAGGGCGCGGATGCGCGGATATGTTCGCCGCTCGTGGCACAAGGGCGCCGGGGAGGGCGCAGGGCCTCCCCTCTTCCGAGGAGCTTCGCCGGGGCGCCGCGGGGGCCCCCGAGTCATGATCTGTAGTGTGGAGCGTCGCTGAGAAGCCCGCAAGAGAGGTTCGGAGGCACCTCGGGGGGTCTTCGAATCTGCGATACGCATAAGATGAAGCAAACGCAGCCCGCCTCCTTAAGTCGCTTGGCGGCAGGCGAGCATAACGTCGCACGCCCCGTCCTTCGTCTGGCGCTCCGCTGAGCGCTCCGACCGTCGGTCGCTCGTGTCTGGCGCTGGTCGTATGCGGCGCTCGTCCTGGAGAAGAAGGACGGAGAGGAGGCGGCACTGCAGAATAGCTCTCATGAGCAATAACAGATGGAGAACATGAGAGAGGGGGAGGATGCGAGGAGATCGGAGGTTCGGGGGTCGCCCCTCCGCCCCCGGTGGGCGCGCGGTGGCCCAGGGTGCTTTTGTCAGCGATGCCTCGAGGTCCGCGGGAGTGCTGTGCGACGCCCATGTCGTGCTGTCCTGTGGTGTCCCGGTGGTGTCCTGTTGGTGTCCCGTCGGTGTTCCGTCGGCGGCGGCTGGGGGGGTCCCACCTTGGTATCGATAGCGAAGTCGATAGTGACATCGATAATGAGGTCGCTAGAATGGCTTGGATAGTGAGATCAAAAGTGAGATCGGCAGTGAGGTTGATTGTGACATTGATTGTAAGATAGGAAGCGGGGACGATGATGAAATCACATCGCAGCGCAACATCGTCATCACGCGTCGTCGCTAACTCGAGGGCGCGTCACCAGCATCGTCATCATCACACCCATCGCATTTGCCAGCTGGTGGTTCCTCCCCCCCCCCCACCCCACACCTTACCACCCGAAGGGAGGTCGTATGGGCATTAATGGACGAGGAGGTTGAGGCAATGAAAGATGATATTCGTGAGCGATGGTAAAGGGATAGGGAGGAAGAAGGAGGAAGAGGAGTAGGCACTGCGCAATGGTAGACATGAGCAATGGAACAGGGAGGAAGAGAGAGAGAGAGGGAGGGAGGATGACCCTGACGAGTGAGGGAAAGAAGAGAGGGAGGGAGAAAAGGGGGATGCGGGGCTCAGAGGGAGAGACAGAGGCAGAGACAGAGACAGAAACAGAGATAGAGAGAAAGAGCGACAGAGAGACAGAGAGACAGAGAAAGAAAGAGAGGGAGAGAGGGAGAGAGGGAGAGAGAAAGGGGAGGGGGGGGGCAGGAGGAGGCAGCAGTGCATAATAGCAGTCGTGAGCGATGGAAAAAGCCTGCTCACTCGGCGGCCTCATCGCCCCCCAGGCCGCGGGGACGGCCGGGGCCAATCTCTGGCGCCCAAGCGGAGGGCGAGGGCCGTGTGAGGCCGATTCAATGAACGACCGAGCCCTGCAATCCGCGGATCCTCCTCCTACTCCTCCTCGAGCTTCGGGGTCCGCGGTCCGAGGATCGAGGATCAAGTCATGTTTCCGCTTCCGGCGCTCCTTAGAACTCTGGACGCTTCCAGATTCCAGCGGCCTCCAGAGGCCTCCGTACGCCGTCCGTCCTGGATGACTTTCTGGACATGGCTCCGAGGAGGATCCAGCCGTGGCCACGAGGGCGCCCCTCGAGACCCAGAAAGACCCAGGACCTCGATCCTCGAACTTCGATCCTCGACCCTCGATCGACGACGACGCGAAGTTCCAACGCCGCACCTCCGCCGGCTTGGCCACTGTACACTCCTCGTGCGCGCGGCGCTCAGAAGAGCATGTTGCCTTGCTCCTTCTCCTTGTAGATCATCTCGAAGTACTGGTAGATGATGGTCACCGCCAAGAGGATCCCCGTGCCGCTGCCGATGGCGCCGAGGAAGTCTGCGACGATGGTGAGCATGCCAATGCACATGCCGCCGAAGGCGGCCGCCGTGGGGATGTACATCTCGAGCACGTGCACGAGGGAGCTCTCGCGGTGCCCCTTGAACATCATCTGCTGGTCGCGCAGCTGCTTCGCCACGTCGCGGGGGGACGACCCCGACACCTCGATCCACGTCTTGGAGAAGAGGGCGCATGAGAGGAGCACGAACGCCACGTAGAAGAGGGCATGGAGCGGGTCCTCCCAAATGTCGGAGACGTTGCGGGGCGGCGACATGTAGTACGCAAGGCCTCCCACAGGGATCGACTGGCCGCCGTAGTCCATCTCCTGCCACTGGCCTAGGAGGTTGACCAGCATGTTGGACTTGAAACGCCGGTACAGCAGCTGCGAGAAGAAGTACAGATTCGATACGAGCGCCGTCTGCAGGATGATGGGGATGTTCGAGGTGTAGAACAGCTTGATCGGATAGGACCCCTGCTGGCCGCGGATCTTCTGGTACTTCACACCCAGGTCCACACGGAAGCCCTGGAAGTAAATCACGATGAAGAACACCAGGACGGTGGCAAACAAGTTGGTCAGGTTCGGGGCAGACTGTCTGTAGAAGGCCTCTCTCAAGGCTGTCACCTTGTCGCTCCTCGACGCCATGAAGTGGAAAGTCGCCACGATAGCACCCTCGAACTCCGTGCCCTTGCCCGTGTTCATCGTCGTGGGGGAGAACGCCTTCCAGATGATGCTCTCGCAGATGTTGGTAGCGATGAACAGCGAGATCCCCGATCCGATGCCGTACCTTGAAAACCCAAATCGGCATGAGCACACAGTGTCGGAGGTCCGCGCGGATATCTTGGGTTGGCGCGGCACTTCTCTCCCCCACATCCTCGCCATCGCTCGGGCGTCCATTACCCGGGCGTTGTTCGGCTTCGTGCGCTTCTTGTGCCGCAAGATGATCCAAGATGCTCCTCGATGGCGTCGAAAAGAACGCACACGTTCGAGCGATGCCAAGCACCCTCCCTTCCTCCCTCCCACTGCAAGTGCGCGCGGGCATAAACTCTCGACGTCGGCGCTGTTCGTAGGGGCAGGCAGGAGCGGGGAACGCGGGGGCGTGGGGCCCCCTACGGGGGCCCCTGAGACCGGCCCGGGGCAGCGCCCCCTACGGGCTGCGGCAGCGCCCCCTACGGGCAGCGCGCCCGGGGGGGTTGGTCTCCGACACCGCGCGGATCGCTCAACCATCAGCGACCGTGGCGTTCCGACCGCGTCTGGAACGTTGACTTGGCGAGTCGCGGCGGCGGTCCCTGCGTCAGTCTCGAATCCCCGCGCTGGGGTCGCCGCCGTGTCAGCGCAGCGCGAACCTTCCGCATGGCGCTTCCTGGCGTTCGAGCATCCCAGAGCTCCGACGCCGTGCCTTCTTCACATCGTACACCCCTGGAGGTCTCGACCCCTTCCTCAGGACTGGCTTCTGGTCCCGGGCCGGCTCTTGCTGGTAACGATCCCCACTGTCAGAAGTGGATGCTAAGGTGGGTTTAATGTGGCCCAATCTAGCTTCGAAGTTGGTTACAAGTGCATTCAATGGTTTAGGGGGGTTCAGATAACTCCGCGAAGTGGGCGGAGCCCAGTTAGCCCATATCATGAACTCCCCTAGCCCCTTTAGGGAGACTGCAGCCCACTTATAAGCTAGACTGGGCCAGATATTACCTACCTTTAGCATCCCTTTCCCAGCTCGGTGGGGAAGTGAGAAATGATGGGCCTTCTCAGAAGGCTCGAAGTCCCCCAGCCTTCTGAGAAGTTTCTACGCGTTCCCCTGAGACACAGAAAACTTTCCAGAAGGCGCGAGGGCGTCTGAGAAGTGAAGCCGAATCGAGCCCTTGTCCCTGGGGACCCCTTCTGCATGAGCTCGTCCAGAAGCAGCACGATCACGCCAGCGAAGAAGAGCTCGAAGATGATCAGCAGGGCGTTCCCAGCGCCCAGCTCGCGGAGGTCCCCGTACATGCCGCTCATGACGTAGGCTACCGCCTCGCGGCGGCGGCGACGACGTCGTAGTCGTCGCTTTCGACGCCGTCGTGGTCGTGGTGATCATCTTCGTCATCGTCGTGGTCGTCGTGGTCGTGGTCGTGGTCGTGGTCGTGGTCGTGGTCGTGGTCGTGGTCGTGGCCATGGTCGTGGTCATGGTCGTCGTCGTCGTCGTCGTCGTCGTCGTCGTCGTCGTCGTCGTCGTCGTCAACGTCGTCGTCGTCGTCGTCACTGTCGTCGTCACTGTCGTCGTCGTCGTTGTCGTCGTCGTCGTCGTGGTCGTTGTCGTGGTCGTCGTGGTCGTCGTCGTCGTCGCAGGTCGTTGTCGTCGTCGCCGCCGTTGTCGTCGATCGAGCGTTGAGGTACTTGCGCGATATGTCACTTTTGGGGGCATCCCGACGCGTCGGGAGGCCTCCCGAAGCCTCCAGGGACCTCCGGGGACCTGCAGGAACCTCCGGGGACCTCTGGGAACGTCCGGGGACCTCGGGAGGCCTCCAAAGGTCGTCGTCGTCGTCGCCGCCGCCGCCGCCACCGCCGCCGCCGCCGCCGCCGCCGCCGCCGTCGTCGTCGTCGTCATCGTCGTCGTCGTCATCGTCGTCGACGTCGTCGTCGTCGTCGCCGTCACCGTTGCAGTCGCTGTCGCCGCCGCCGTCGCCGCCGCCGCCGTCGTCGTCGTCGTCGTCGACGCAGTCAACGTTGCTGTCGCCGTCGCCGTCGCCGTCGCCGCCGCCGCCACCGTCGTCGTCGTCGTCGTAGTCGTCGTCGTTTCCGTCGTCATCGTCGTCACCGCCTCGCCCATGGTGATGAGCATGCCGAAAAGCTTCTGAGCCCCGTTGAACAGGTTGCGGTCCTCCTTCAGGCTCTGGTCCACGTCGATGATGCGGCTGCCCGCCAGCAGCTGCATGACCATGCCCGAGGTGATGATCGGCGAGATGCCGAGCTCCATCAGGCTGCCACGGTTGGACGCCAGAATCACCTGCACCGCCAGGAAGCGTCCACATCCACAGCTGCCGCAGCCCTGCCCTGGACCCCTGAGGAGCTGTGGATATGGATACTGTCCCGCCCTGAGGGGGCAGATATGCATATCCGCCAGAGGTACGCAAGATCCTGGGGCACGACTTCGAGGCAGTGGTGGATATGGGCATTCTGTGGCCGTGGATCACCCGCATCCAGTAGAAGGGGTCCGCGGACTTAGATGTCACGATGCCGTACAACGGGATCTGGCAGCAAACCAAAAACACGAACAGGGTGATCGAGGTCCACAGTATCCTCTCCTTGAAGGGGATCCTCCGGTCTGGCGCCTGCACCTCAGGTAAGACGCACATCATCGGCTTGATGAGGTTCAAGAACCGGAAGCTCCCGCTGCTGCTCATGACTGCGAAAGCAGAGGCAGTGGACTGTCAAAACTGCTATGGCGCTCCAGCGCAGGCAACCTTGAAGGCTGCCGCAAGAAACACAAGCTTGAGCCAAAATGGCTGCGGAGGAGGAAAGGAGAACGCAGTGCGCGAATCGATCGCCGACTGGGATCAGGTGCGGCCGATAATCCCGTCAACTGCAGAGTGCGCACATGCCTACATTCATCATGCTACCAAGAAGAATGCTGGATGAGGAACGACGGGGCTTTCCCGCCGCGGCGAACCACGGCCGCGAATAGGTTCCCTGACCTAGATCTCAAGAAAGGCCCAACAACCAGCGCCGCTCCTGAGCCTTGAGCCCAGGGTTGCCCTTGGTTCAGCGTCTCGGCTGTAATGACTTCCACGAACTCCGAAACTCTCGTAGGCACGAGCGAGTAGTACCAGAGCTCAACAGGTGGGGGATGTACCACGGACCGAGTGGCCGATTTCGAATCCCCAAATGCACAAACATTGGGGTCTCACGTTGACATCCGCCGCCTTCCGCCGACCTTCCGACACCTTCCGCCGAAGGCTCGATGAGCCGAAGGCAAGACCTTTTCTGAAACGCCCCAGGTGGCGCGACCACGCCGCCACGCCTGTCAGATTAAGCACAGGCGCCGTTCGGCACTCTCCGCTTTCAAAGGCGAACGTCCCCGGGCTGCTGGCTCAGGCGGGGAAACATCGACCTGGTATCGGGGATGCATCGCCGATAGATCTGCGACAAGCCCCCGATTGCCAAACCGCCCGATCCTGGGCAAGGTGGACTATCGGGCCCCTGTCGGCGATTAATGGGCGATCGGAGGTCGATGCTATCCCGCCTGACCTGAACCGGTCCCACGACGTTGTGTTTTTTGCGCAACACAGACACTGAGAGGTCTCGAATCAGTCCCCGGGACCAGCTTTTCATCCTGAGTGGTTTGTGGACAGTGGACTATCCCGGGGCCCAGCGAGGGCCCCCAGAGGGAGAAAGAAACAGAAAATCTTCCGTCGTGACTTGTTCGCGGCGCGAAGATGTCAGGCCCCCCCTCGCCTGAGTCAGGCGTTCCCCGCTGACGCTGCCCCCGAGCCTTCCAGCCCTCTCCACTCTGGCCTCTCCCCGTGCTGACTCCACGCTGCTTTGGACGCGCGAGATGGGCACGGGGAAAATAGGCACCATCTCCCAGAAGGGCGCCTGCCCAGCAGCTACCGCTGCTGGGCAGGCGGCCTTCTGTCCCAACTGGACAAAGCCTGCGGCGACACGGACAGCGAGCCCTGTTCACGGGTCCTGGACCCTGGGGCCTTCCCCCAGGACCAGCTCTTCCTCGTGAGTCGTTTTCTGACGGTCCCGGGGAGCCCGTGGAGGGCCCTGGGAAGCCAAAAACGGGGGGGGGGGGGGGGGAAGCCTGGCGGCGCTTCGCTGCCGCGCCAGCTGCCTTAGAGGCCGTGAGCAGGCCTCCCTCCTTCTCGCCCCTCTCCTCCTCCTCCTCCTCCTCCTTCTCCACCTCCTCCTCCTCCTCCTCCTCCTCCTCCTCCTCCTCCTCCTTTTACTCCCTATTATGCTCCTCCCCTGCATCATCAATCAATCATTCGATCAATAGATCAATCAATCAACCAATCAGCATCATCATCATCATCATCATCATCATCATCATCATCATCATCATCATCATCATCATCATCATCATCATCATCATCAACATCATCATCATCATCATCAGCATCATCATCATCATCAGCATCAGCATCATCATCATCAACATCAACATCATCATCATCATCATCAGCAGCAGTATGATCAGCATCAGCATCAGCATTCACATCAGCATCAGCATCATGATCACCATGATCATCCTCCTCATCATCATCAGCAGCAGCATCATCATCCTCATCCTCATCCTCATCCTCATCCTCCTCATCATCATCATCAGCATCATCATCAGTTTCCGCTCCACTTGTCTTCGACCATCGTGCCTACTCCTAGCTTGTCTTCCGAGGCTAGGCTGCGCGCACTTGTGGGCCTAGTGGCCGAGTGGGCTGAGGCGCCTGCTTGGCGGGACGGCGGCGTCGGCAGAGGTTGGCCGGGCCGCTGATTCCTGACCATGTGTTTTTCTGGGCAGGGTGCGGAGGGTGGGATGTTCGAAAAACAAATTGTTTGTTGGTCCCCACCCCCACCGGCAGCGCGAGGCAAGCCCGATGCCCCCGTGGGTGGCTATCGATGCATGCCGCTGGGGAGGCGTGAGACAGGCCGAAGAAGCAGATGATGTGTTTGCAGTACGGGGCAGTGACGTGTGAGAGCTCGGTGGGGACAACCCCACCGTACCCTTGCTATGTTAAGCGGGTTCGAGCGAGCCAAGGGTACAGTGGGGGTTGTGCAAAGTCCACGCCGAGCTCTCACACGTCACTGCACAGTGCTGCTACTTCGCAATAGAGGACAACGCGCCCTCCCTGAAGCCCCCCACCTTCTTAGAAGGTCCATTCCCCTCTCGCGCCAGCCACCCGGCGCGGGCCGCCGCGCAGGGGTCGACACATCCGGGGGGGTCCGCGCTGTGAACAACCAGCACGTCGGAGGCCACGGGGGGAACGTGCGCGAGCGGCAGAACCGCTCGGGGGCAACTCTTGGGAGCAACCCATACTGTATTGCTGACTCCTGCGAATCGACGCCAGTCGACGCTGATCGGCGCGGATCGGCATCAAATCATAGCCACTTGACGCCAAAGCAGCGCGCTGTATCGACGACGAGACGCTGGCAAACGCTAATGCACTCTAAAGGCGGAATTGCGAGGACACAGAAGGCTCCTATGATTTGCTACCGAAGAGCCAGGCTGTCCGCTAGGATTGCCGACCGACACGTTCTGCCTTCGCCGTCACTCCAAGAGCCGCTCTCGTCTTCCCCACCGCCTCGCTCTCTCTCTTCTGCTACCCGCGAGGCCTCCACGCTCCTCCTGATCCAAATCTCTCTGCCACTGCTGGTGGCAAGTCTTCGGCCAGTCGCCTTGCCAAGCTTCACTGCGTACGGATCGCTCATCGGACGCGCGCGGAACCCGCGGTAGACAGAAAAAGAAATCCGGATCCAGCGGTGACGGCCGACGGGTGAACTGGGGAGCTCAAGGTGGCCGTTTAGGAGGGGTCAAAGGACGCAAGAGGAATACGTGGGAGATGGCTCAGCGATCGTGATTCGCTGGAGTCTCCCGACCAGTTGGTGGCCAGGGGCGAAGCAATCGTTGGTCACTCCCGTCGCCTCCGGAGCGCGCTCCTTACCGAAGGTCTGGCGATAAAATTCTGGATTCGACTACCCAGAGTCTGGCGCCTTCAGAGCTTTGCAGCGTGGTCTCGTCAATCTGAAAACTGTATCTGAGATCGGTGCAAGACGCCGAGTCTATCACCAAAGCAAGCTGACACACCCTGTATACGAATGCTCATCGCCCAAGGTTCCATAGAGGGAGAGCATCGCCAACAGCAAACATGCCAACCCACCTGAGTACTGTGTACCATAATCGTCAGGGTCAACTGTTCCATGGTGGCAATCCATTGCGTCGTTCGCATTGCACTCGCAGCACCATCGGCAATAAGGACAGTACTCCTCGCGGCGGCTCGCAAATGGTTGCGATGTGGAGCCAGGGACAAGAGTGACGAGGTGCAGCCAAGCATGCCACAGAACTGATGTCTGCCACCTTGCCCTCGGCACGCTGGGGCGTGTCAGAAAGCTTGTTGGCTTTCTGATGTGGCGTCCTTCGTTTACCAACTGGGCCCCACCTACCCCCCACGTCGCGACCGCCCATCGAACAGATCCTGTCTGGTTTCGCTTCCAGGCGCCCTTTTCGGCGTCAAGACGGCCTACAGACCGCCGCAAGACGGCTGCAGGGTGTCGGGAAAACAGCCCGAGACGGCGCAACGAGCCCCCAGGCCCAAGCATCCATCCGAGATGTTCCGAGAGGCCATGGCAAGTCCCACAGAGAATCCCAACGAGACTTTCAGCCAGGTCTTCAGGGAACCAAGGTCCATGTTTCTTGCTTCTGAAGTTTTGTCGACTTCAGATCGCCTCGGGAAAGCTCCAGACCCCAAGAGGGCAGAAGACAGCATCAAAAGGAGTCCAAGACTGACTCAAGACTACCCGAGGCTACCCGAGACTACCCGAGAACCTCCAAGGCGGCCCCAGAGGACTCGAAGACCGCTCCAAGACCCACCCAGACGTCCACAAGATGGGAGAGCTCGGTAGTATTATCGCGCCCACGACGACCCGTCGACCCCCGACGGGGCCCCAACGGGCCCCCAAGCTCGGTAAAACCAGTGCTCACAAGACGGCCCCGAGACCTCCAACAGGCTCTGAACAGGCTCCCAAGACAACCAGGGCACCCCCAAGAGCCCCCAAAGAAGCCCCATAAGAAGCCTGAAATGCGCTAACAACAAGAAGGAGGGAGGAGGGGGCAGGCGGAGGAGGGAGGCAAAAGGAGCAGGAAGAAAACAAGTTTGCGGACAAGGAGGCGGCGCTGAAGACCCGCGCCAGTTCCGAAATGGCACTGAAATGGAGCTAGTCTGAAACTCTCCCTCCTCCCTGCTGCGCTGCTGAGCTGGCACGGTGGCGGGGCTACCCGCAGGCAGCTTGATCAAAAGCAGCGGGAGGCAAATATAAGAGACGTGAGACCACGGGCGGGGGGGAATGCCTTGAGTTGCACGCCCAACAACCGTGGAGGGTACATTTGAAGTCTACTCTTATCCAGTCATGCCAGCCAGTGGTAATCATAACCAAAAAAAGTGTGGAAGCCCACCTCGTTTCGTGTGTATTTAGGTGTATCACACAGGTTTGGCTTGACACTGTCTTTAGTGTGGCAGGGGAAGCAGTATGCACTATAGGGGGAGTGCAGAAAGATGTGACTGTTATCATTGTTGGCTTAAGATGGAAAAGCCTCCTTGCTATCGGTCTTGCTGCCACAGTTGGTAGCGGAGCCTCGTGGTGAGGATCTTGGCTGGAGGGATTGCCAAGGGGTGCTGCTAGGCGGTGCCGTGTCGTGACCTCGGAGAGCGTGATCCACCGCCACTTTCCTGTGATAAATTCAGTCCCCCCCTCTTCCTCCGGAACCGGGTGTCCCCCCCTGAAAATCCCCCC